GGTTGTCCTGCAAACAGTTAGCACCATGTGAAATCTCATTCCAGGAGCTTCCCCTCTGGCTGGCACCAGGACCCCAGTCTTTTCCTTCCCAGCATGAGACTCTTGAGGTGGGGGTTGGGGAGGTGGGGAGATTCCTGGTCCTTGGAGCCCATTGTCTAGATAATCTGATAGCCCTTCTGAAGGGAGGGGGCAGTCTCACTTCAGAATCTCTTCTGCTCCAGCCTGGATGGTTACACAGCCCAACCCTACCAGTTATTTTTAAAGAGCTTTCTATCACCAGGTGGGAAAAAGCTTGACTTCAAGCAAAATCCTGGTTTGGTCCCTTCCATCCTTCCCACCTCATCACCCATCATGGAGGACTTGATTGTATCCTGCCTTTGCCTCTCACTAATATGCTCTGAGCAAATTGTTCTTTTTTTCATCTTCAATACGGGAACAATCATAGAATTTACACCACAGGTGTGAGTGCTAGTGGATTGCAATAGGTAAAGTGTTTAGATCAGTCAGTGCTTGGCACAAAACTTTTGAAGTGTTGGCGTGCCCTAGAAACTAGCCCCAAACATGCTGTGAGCTGCATTTCCTCCTCGGTGAATAAATGGCCCACACCTCCACCTGAGCTGCTGCTCCTTCAACTAAGCCCTTCACTTTCCCCTGGCAAATCTCTTCAACTTTAGTCTGGCCAGGGTTCCCAACCTTAGAAACACTTATGTGTTGAGTATCCCCCATTATCACACTACCCAATGTAGCAGACACATCCCTGAAGGCACACTGCTGCTGCTTTTTTTTTTCTTTTAAAAAAAATTATTGAGAATTTCATACATGCATGTAAGGTGTTGTGATCAAATCCATGCCCACTCCCTCCCCTCCAATTCCATCACTTTTTCCTGAACAACTTTGTGTGCTTGCTTGCTTGCTTTCTTCTTTCTCTTTTCTTTCTTTCTTTTTCTTTCTTTCTCTTTCTTTCCCTCCCACCCTTCCTTCCTTCCTTCCTTCCTTCCTTCCTCCCTCCCTCCCTCCCTCCCTCCCTCTCTCTCTCTCTCTCTCTCTCTCTCTTTCTTTCTTTCAATGGGCCTTTTTTGCTACTCTAACATTCCCCCCTCTGAAGAGGTAACCCTAAAAATCTTTTAAAGTGTTGACATGCTCACACTTTAATCTTTTAGGGATTAGATAAGAGCTCCCAAATACTTTTGACATTTTTGGCCTTAGGAACAGAGTATGTTGCTAAGAGGCCCAAGGACATTTTGATTTTTAGCCAAGAAACTGGCTACTTTTCTTTGGAGTCTTTTTACCCTAACTGCCTAGCCAATTCCTGCCTCCTGTTCTTATCATGCCATCCCCTGAAGAGGTTACCCAACTTGCCGATAGGGAATCAGGACACAGACCACTCTGGCTTCTCCCACTGCTGCTGCTTTTTTTTTTTTTTAATTGTATTTATTATTTTTATTTTATGTGTATGAGTGTATTGCCTACATGGGTGTAAGTGCACCCATGTCATGCAGTGCCTACTGAGGTCAGAAGAGCTCACCAGATTCCCCTAGAACTGGAGTTATGGACCGTTGTTAGCCACCGTGTGGGTGCTGGGAACAGAATCCCAGCTCCTCTGCAAGAGTAGTCAGCGCTCTTAACACCTGAGTCATCTCTTTACACTACTGCTTCTTTTATAACCCTAGGATCTAACACAGTGCCAAGCACATGATAGGTAGTCAGTAAATACCACTGTAGGAAGATGCTTGACTTCCTTACAGATTCTAACTTCTCAAGGGCAAGAGGTCCCACAGCTTTGCAGTCTCTGCATTATCTACCCAAATTACATCCAATCCATCAATCAAGGGCTTTTGTGTTCTTTGCAAAATACAATGCTTACTTCTGATCAAAGAACTTTTAGCTTTTCTCCAATCCATCCTAAATGCCCTGTGGAAATTTCTACCCTCCAAACTATCATACTGGTCCTCTGTGCCTTTATTTTGTAACTGGGCATTTTTTGTTTGGGATCTTATCACTATACTTATTGTTTCGCTAGAGACTCTGAGTTTTCTGAGGCCAAAGTATGTAATTTCCAGCCAAGTCTAAGGCCCATAGTAAATGCTTACTAAATAGTTCTTGGTAGTTTCGTGAATGCAACTTTTTCACAGTTCTTATGTTTACCTAAGGATTGTTCAAAAGGAAAAAAACAAAAAGATCTGGGTTTTAGTTCAAGGGACACTAGCTTGGTGTTTTATCATGCCATTAAATTTTGTTCATTTGTAGAAAACAGACCTCCTTGCCTTTTACTACAGAGCAAAGAATAAAATTTAACACATATGGTTGAAAATAAAGGAAATAATTATTTCCTAAGAGTTACAGTAAGGCATTTCAAAACATGCTTTGGAAAAGCCCCCGTTGACAGCCTACAAACAAGCTCTTTCCTGCAAATGACCCTCTTTTTCTTTATTTGGGAAATAATTTATTATAGCAAAGTAGTTACTTTCATGGACTCTTCAACTTACTGAAGGCCTAGGTTAACTGTACAAAGGAGATAACAGTGCTGTGACACTGAGGTTAAATTGCCAGTGGGAAAATAGGTATTTTCCACTTTTCAATATACAATACACCTTAAGCAGATGTGATTTTGTTCTTGTTGCAAGCAGGCCAAATGTTTGTTTTGTGGTTGGATTTGTGTTATATAGCCCACCCTGGCCTTGAGCTTGAAGTAATCCTCCTGTTCCAACCTCATTTAATAATTTTTAAAGCAATAATTGAAGAATTTTGGCCTCAAAGGCAGAAGCTATGTAAGAAATTGTGCACTTACTTACAATTAGCTTTTTCTAATTAGGTTTTTCTTTTTACAATTTTTTAATTTATTAATGTGTGTGTGCACACATGATGGGAGTACAGGTGCCACAGCATGCATTTGGATACGAGGACAGCTTTCAGAAGTTGATTCTCTTCTTCTGCCTTAGGTCCTAGAGATCAAACTCAGGTTGTCAGGCTTGTAGAGCAAGCACCTTTACCCTTTGAACCACCTTGCTGGCCCATAATTAGAATTTTCAGTGCCATGTTTAAATTATGTTCAATTAGGAAAGAACAATAAAACAAAAATGAACAAAACACTATAATAATTTTCAGCAAACTAATCTGAAAAATGTATTCAGTTCCTTCCATTTCTAAGCATTATGAATTTAAGTGATTCAAAACTCCTTTTAAGGGACTGGAGAGATGAGATGGCTCAGCAGTTAAGAGCACTGGCTGCTTTTGCAGAGAGCCTGGGTTCAGTTCCCAGCACCCACATGGTAGCTCACAACCACCTATAACTCCAGTTCCAGGGGATCGTCTGGCCTTGCATACACGGGTACAGTTACATACACGTAGGCAAAACACTCATACACATAAAATAAAAATAAACAAAATAATTTAAAACCTCCTTTTAAAATAATGTATGATAAACAGATCTCTGAGGCTGAACTAGCTCCCTATCGCTATCATCTGTGCCACTATCAGGTACCAGGGAGTAAGCATCTTTTTCTAGTGCTGGAGATTGTGAGCTTACACACTAAACTCATGCAAACCACTAAATGGCACCCCCGCTTTGTACTCGCCATTTCTAATCACTTACTTCTTAACAAATATTAATTCAGCACCTACTGTGTGCTAAGGACTGGGATGCAACTATGGCCCAGATATTCGTTCACCCTTCCAGGAAGTTACAAAGCTGACAAGCAACTCTGCAAGATATTACAGGTGAGATCAGGATGAAGGACTAATGAAGGTGTGGCTGCAACCTACTCTTTCCAGCGAACGGCTGCATTGAAAAATCCTTTAGTGGGAAGGTTACGAAAAAAGAAGTCTTGCTTAAAAGTCACTGCTCTGATTTTCTGGTAATATAAATAGCAAATGTTACAATCCCAGTTGTTCTGGATTACACACTAGCTTAAAGACACATGAAGATTTAGGCCCTAGAAACCCACATTTCTAGATGTAGAGAAGCAGAAGGCTCAGGGCCCTAAATGAGATCTGCAGAAACTTAAGGGCTTCTGGTTGCTGTTGTTTTCCCTCTACTCCTAATTGTTTCTGGTCATGATAAGGCTGGCAAACAGCAGGGGAGCCACAGGACATGGTTTGAGAAATAGATGGAAAAATCCCAGAGATTAAAGCTATGCTGGGCCTTTCTTCAGTATGCATTTTTGCTTTCTTTGGCCCTGCCTACATGAGACTGTTGCAGTAAATTTTCAGGTGGCTGTTCCAAGTAAACAGTAGACTGTTCTCTGAAGCCTTTCTTTTCTTTTGCTTCTCTGCCATTCCTCCCATCTGACATAACCAGATCCCTCATAGGAGTAGAAATATTCAGCTGGAAGGCAAAATGCCAGAAGAGACTAGGGGTATCACAAAGCTTGCCCTTGTCACAGTTCTACAAAACACACTGCCTTAGACTAGTATTGTCACTTCCTAACTGACCTTTTAACCTACAGCCATCCATCCCAGTAGCAACCTTCACAGCTGTACAACACTGACCGGGCCACTTCTGCAGACTGCTGAAGTTTACTGAAGGAAGCCCGAATACATAGGGAGACAGGAGGCCCATCAGCATCTGAGCTTGAGCCCCACCTAGCCTTTCCAACCCTCTCTTTCCCTTATCTTTCTACACCAGAAGTGCAGTCACACTACAGTACTGGTGCAGGCGGTGATCTTTCAGGCCTCCATACCTTTGCACAGACTAGTGCAGCTGTTGGCAATATCCCTTTGTCTTTCCACTGAGGGAAATTAAGTTCATTTCTTAAGATCCAAATAAAATTCTCAACTCTGGCAACTCTCCTCTCTGCTTCGACATTCTGTATCCATTATGACAGCATTAACACTATTTATAATTATAATGTTTCAGACTTTGTGGCAAGCTCTCTAATTGTTCCTTTTTCCTCTAGCCCCAACCTAAAACCACCTGTCTTTCTGACTAGTGTAGAGCAGTGTCAATTAAATGTCTGTTAAAAGTCCATGTTTTAAGACACAAACCACACACTGAGAAATGATGCAATTATTCCATACCAGTTTATTTTAGGTATTGTTTCAGAAAAAACTTCATCATAAATAACTTCATGTCATTAAATAACTTAGTACGATTTATAATAAAACTTCTGAGAATTTAACATCTCATCAAAATACAATAAAATGTGGCTTTAAAATATGATTAAGTCTTTTCCCTTTTCTTTTTACTTGAGGGCATATAAACCAAAATGACCCAAACTACTGCTACACATATAAACTTTTAACAAAGCATATTTGGGTTATTTTAATGTAACTGAAACATCCTAAATATCATTTTTTTTTCCTGCACAGTTCTGTGTAATTTTTGTTCCTCTTGACTTAGAGTTCTGTTTCAATGTAGCTTCCTTCTTCATTTTCACCTCGCCATCTGCAAAGTCATCTTTCTCCTGGCCCCCCAGAACACGTAGTAGACCTCACTCAGCCCCTTGACATCAGTTTCTGTAATCCTTGCATCAGCGGAGGGAGTAACTGCTTGAGTAACTGCAAAGGTATTTCAAAACTTCAGTGCAATTTGCTTCAGTTATTTTCATTTGGATGCCATCACCGTTCAGGGAGATTAATCACTGGAACCCACTGATCCATGTAGCGACTTTCCCGACAAAAACAAATAAGTTGACTTAAGGCAGGATCCTTCCATTGTGACGAATGTGGATTCTGAGAACAAATTGAGAAAAATTAATTCTTGGTAAAATTGTCAGCTTATGCCACTAACTGTACTACTTTTGAAAAGGCAGATATCCAACATTCTGTTAAACTGTATTTGGCTAAGTCTAAACACCTGTAAGCCACACGTTTGCGTAATTATCTCTGCCACTTGCATATAAGTTTGCCCTACCAAACATGTACCCCGGTGGGGCCATGAATAAAACAGTTTTGGAAAATATTCTCAGGCTGTGTGCACAACTGGTGTGAGCACTGCAGAATGTGAAACTGCCACCTGTTAAGATGAATACTTGCCCACCAGACTTTCTTTTCTTGTTGGGGGAGGGGAAGAGATGTTCATTTAAATAAATGCATGATTGCAATAAACAAAAACTCCACTCCACTTAAAAAGTATGTCTAGGGAGTTCATAAGGTCTGTCTCCTACTCCACTTTTATTTTTGGCTTTTGACAGCGAACGAGACTGACTTCTTAATGTAGGGTGAGCCCGAATTTATTTGGCTTTATCTACTCTGCCCTGTTCAGAGTTAGTCACGCGAGGTAGTGCCGAGGTAGGCAGGAGTAGCTGGGCTGGCGGCTGACTCACAGGGATCTCTTCCGCCGCTGGCGCCTGCCAACGTGCTCAGACATGCCCCACACAGGCAATCCCCGCGAGGAAGCGAGTCCAGGTCGGCCCAAGTCCACCCAGGCTTCCGGGTCCCTTACCGTCACCAGCACGCAGTGCAGGTCCGGGGGCTGCGCGGCTCCCCCACTGGCCGCCGGCCCCGCGTCGGTCTCCAACAGCAGGAGCTCCGCCAGCCGGCCGGGGTTGCTGACGCGCAGGATGTTGATGTCGTTCTCGCAGCAAAACGCCTGGATCAGGGTGAAGTGGATTTGTAGAGCCACGTCCCTGTCGTCGTCTTCGTCCGCAGCCAGCAGGCACAAAACTACGTTGTCGGGGTCGCTGTGGACAGCAACAGCGGTGAGCACAGATGCTCCGCCAGGGCGCCGGGCCCGGGTGGGATGGAGCCCCGGGGGCGAGAGGAACTGGGTCGGGAGGGGCCCAGGTCGGAAGGACCCGGGCGGGAGGGAAGCCGGGGCCACTTACACGTTGAGCAGCTTGGCGGCCTCGTACACCCCGACGGTGATGCTGCGCTGACTCCGCGCCTTGCTGAGCACTTCCTCCAGGGCATCGCCCACCGTGTCCATCCTGCAGGCGGCAGAGCGAGAGCCGGTCAGCCGGGAGCCCCAGGACATCGCCGGGTCTCGCTCTGCTCCGCCCCCGCTCAGGGCTGGACGCCGCCACCACGGTCCCGGCACAGCCTCAGACCCGGCTCGCTGGGGCCGGCATCGGCCGACTTCCCGCACACGCCCCCGCAAGCCGCCCACCGCGCGGCAGCCCCGAATTGCCGGGATCCCGCAGGCCGACTTACCTTTCGGTCTTCTGCTCTGCAGCCGAGAATTCCTCCAAAGTCATATTGCAAGTGCAGGTCCCTTCCGCGGAGCGCGGCGTGAGGGCTGCTCAGCCCGGCTGCGCGGGCGTAGGCGCCGGCTCTCTGCGCTCGCTTCCAGGCACCTGACGATGGTTTCGGCCCCGCAGTCCCGCACCCCTCGCGCGCCCGCCTGGCGCTCCAGCTCCTTCGCCCGCGGCTTCTCTCTTCTCCGAATCCGCAGCACTAGCTCCGCGTCCGCCTTTCGGCCACTGGAGGACAAAGGGCCAGATTCGCAGAAGTTATTGGCCCTACCCCCGGCCAACCACGTTCCGTTTCATTTGCATGCAGTGTGGCCATTGGACTATGCAAATTAGCAGCCTTCTGCAATTTGACCCTAGCTCCTGGAGCCAGGTTGAGAGGAGCGGAAGGGGGCGGAGCTATGCTGAGGGGAGCCCTGGGGAGCAGTGTGGCACAGAAACCGAGTTGGCAGTGTCATGAGCCAGCTCTCAGAGCGGGTTGGGGGGATCATCTGATGCGGAGGGCTTTACAGTGGCAGGAGGTGTCCTCAACTTGGCTGGAAGCAGCCTGACAATTGTTTTTCTAGTTGGTGCACATTTCTTTATCATTTCGTGTTGTTTGCGTTAAGGGGCTGCTATTAAAATCGATTTCCAAGGCTAATGCCCCCAAATCTGGTAATTATTAGATTACATTTAAAAAGTGTCCAGACCTCCCGGGCAAAGTTTACTTCAAAAATATTTATATAGATCGATCGATCGATAGATGATAGATTAGATAGATAGATAGATAGATAGATAGATAGATAGATAGATAGATAGATAGATGACGATAGGTAGATAGATAGATGGTAGATAGATGATAGATAGTAGATTGATGCTGGATAGATGCTAGATAGATGTCCTAGGCAAAACTACTTATTATTAGTAGTATTTTGGTGCCCTGATGACTGATTTGATTTGTTTTTGGAAGGCTGCAAGGATTGGAAACTCAAAAAAGAAAAACCAACACAGTAGTATTTAGTGATGGCAGGGAACCAAGTTGGAATCTTTTCCACAAAGAGCCGAAAGGTTTCCTATCCACCCCGTTCTGATTAGGAAACAGCTGAGAAACAAATTATCTGATACCCACAGGAGCCAGCCACAGTCTAAATTCAAAATATTCATGCTATGTCTTTAGCTTCCTTTCATAGCAAGTGAGTGTGCAGTAAGCCGCTGCCTTCTACCAAGAGCCTATGATCTCACTATGAATTATTGATGCTGAATCATGAAGCTGTAGCTATAGGACATTTTAGTCATCTTCTAAAATTTCACCTTTGAGATAATGGCAACTTGTGGGAGGAAGACAGACCTTTCTGCAAGCAGAAGTTACACATCTAAAGAATGTTCAATGTGTAGACTTTTACTGAATAGTTCAAAAGTTCTTTTGTTTCATGAGTTTATTCAATAAATGTAAAAGCATTTGCTAGACCTACTAAAATCACCAAAACTGGTGAAAGTGCCTCCCATATGCTTGTACTCGAAACCATGCTTAACCGTGGAGGTCACTGGGTAGAAAGGGTCATCGAAGTAAATTTTGAAAAGGTATATGGGAGCTTTGTAGCCTTAAATTTTTATTCTTTTTTTAAAAAAAAATTTCATTAATTATTTTTTATGTTTGAGTGTATTGCCTGCATGTATGTAAGTGCGCCCATCACATGCAATGCCCACGGAAGTCAGAAGAGGGCATCAGATCCCTGGAACTGGAGTTAGGACAATGGTTAGCTTGGAGTCAGGACAGTGGTTAGCTGCCATGTGGATGCTGGAAACTGAATCCAGCTTCTCTGCAAGAGCAGCCAGTGCTCTTAACTGCTGAGCCATCTCTCCAGCCCCATTTTTATTATTTTTTGTTTTTTGTTTTGAGATAGAGTCTCTCTATAACCCCAGCTGGCCTGGAATTCACAGAGATATACCTGCTTCCTGAGTGCTGGGATTAAGCCTGGTGCTGAGTTTCTATAAGTTTCTATTCTTTCTTTCTTTCTATTTATTTTTTGAGACCAGAGTCTCTCTGTAGCCCAGCTGGACTGAACTTGCCATGTAGTAGATCAGGCTGGCCTTGAGCTCACAGAGATTCACCTGTCTCTGCCTCCCAAGTGCTGGGATTAAAGGTGTGTGCCACCACACCCAGGTAAGTTTCTATACTTGTGCACAAAATATTTTCTAATTTTCTTGATGTTAATTTAATGGAAAAGAAATGTGATAGGTTGGTTTTCTGGTTTGTTTAGTGGAGGTACAATTTTGCACACAATCCCTAACTCTTTTGCTACCAAGATTTATTCATTTATACTTTACATGTATGAATGTTTTGCTTGCATGTATATATCTGCACCACATGTGTGCCTGGTGTCTCCAGACTCAGAAGAGTGTCAGATCCCTTGGAACTGGAGCCACTAATGGTTGTGAGCCACTCTGTGGGTTCTGGGAACCAAACCCATGTTCTCTGCTAGAGCAGTCAGTCCTCTTAACTGATGAACCATCTCTTCAGCCTCTGCACCTTAAATATTTGGGTTTTTTCTTTTGTTTTGTTTTTTGAGACAGGGTCTCCCTGTAGCCACAGCTAGCCTGGAACTCACTATGTAGATCAGGCTTGCCCTGATCTCACAGAGATCCACTTGCCTCTGCCTCCCAAGTGCTGGGACTAAAGTTGTGAGCCACCACACAAGGTTTCTACCTTAAATCTTAACAGATTAGCCAGGCTTGGTGGCGCACACTTTTAATCCCAGCACTTGGGAGGCAGATGCAAGCAGATCTCTGTGAGTTCAAGGCCATCCTGGTCTGCATAGTGAATTCCAGGTCAGCTGGTGCTACAGGGAGACTGTCTCAAAAAGAACACCCCCCCCAAAAATATCCTAGCAGGAGTTGTGTTTGTTAAAGAATTCAACATTGGGAGTGGGGATGTAGCTCAGTGGTAGAGCACTTACCTAGCATGCTACAGGCCCAGAGTTTGATACCCAGCCCTGAAAAATAGCAGCAGGGACAAAATTTCAACATAGAAATTCAGGCATTGTGATGGTTAATACTGTCAACTTGACAGGATCTAGGATCGACATGGAAACAAACCTTTGTGCGTGTTTGTGAAGGATTATCTAGATTAGGTTAGTTGGGGAGACCCACCCTAACTGTGGAAGGCACCATTCCGTGGGCTGGGTTTCTGGACTGCATAAAAAGAAAGGTAGCTGAACATGAGCATGGATTGCTGTCATTCCTGATGGTGGATGCAGTGTGACCAGCTGCCTCCAGCTCTTGCCACTTGACTGATGTACTGGCAAATGGTGAGCAGGAATAAACCCCTCCTTCCTTAAGTAGCCTCTATCACGTATTTTGTCCCAGTAAGAATGCAAGTAGCTAATACTGGCAGACACCAGAGCATTTTCAGTTTTGCAGACAAAACCCAAATTAAACAAAATGGCTTGAGTCATCATTTGGAAATCATCAAAGTGTGTTCTCTAGAACTCCCAGGTTCTACCCTAGACATTTCTTAGAAGTTCCCTGGAAGGAAGTGAGATAGCGAGATGACAAAGAATTAGAGGATCACATGCCAGCAAGGACTGTGACTTCATCACGTTGGTTCCCCAGCACCTAGCACGATTCCTGCTTTCAGTAGAACTGTAGTTGGTGTGAGCTGAGTGGAAAAGAATCTGGGAATTAACCAACACCCGAGAATCCTACAGTCTTGTGCATTGTGTGAATTCTCCGATAAGGTGGAATATCTGTAAAATGTTGAATTACCTCCAGAAAAACAAACAAACAAACCCAACAATGGTTCAATTGCTGATTGTTTGCCTGCAAAGACCTTATGATCTAATTGGTACATCCATGCTTAAACTGGATTTTGGGACAAAATAGTATTTACTGTTATCAGCTAGCTGTGCTGAAAGTCACATGACTTTCTCATCTGAATGGAGGCTGTAGGCCAATAGACTCTGTATTGTTTACAGCAACTCAAATGAGACACAGACCAATCATGCTCCCCAAACTCAACATATGCTGTAAAAATGTGTATAAAATGACAAAATAGCATTAATGCCTCAAAACTATACTCCATGCTATTTTTAGCCTCTGAGAAAGTCATTGTTCAAGGCTTGTAGGAGTTTATTCTATGAGACAATCTCAGTCTTTTGGTATTCAAAAATATTCATGACTTAATTTCTGACTCAGATGTGCTTGTGTCATTCTGCCTCATTGCTGAGTCTCTCTAGAGTGTTTCATCAGCAATTATCTTCTGTGGGCCTTGTGGCTGGAGGCAGGACCTGCATTTGGCTCCCCAGCTAGAAGACAGATTCACATAAGAGATCTGGGTGATAGTGATAGATCTTTATAACCAGCATAATAATCTAGATATGTGAAGTTACTGTTTGCTTCTTTGTAACAGGGCCTCAAACTCTCACTCCTTCTGCCTCAGCCTCCTGAGTGCAGGAATTATAGCTATGCACCACACCACCCTGCTAATATGCAAAGTTATTTTTAAAAACTATTCCAGGTGATCCCAAGTATTGCAAGTAGGCAGGAAGAGAATGACACTTTAATAGTATTCATAAGAATTCCAAATGGTTCAATTTGGAAATATGTGTTAGAGAATTATTAAGTTATTTTATTTTGCATATTAAAATCTTTTTGACATTATCTTCACTTTTATATAGACATTCTTATTACTGGTTCTAAGGCACAGAATTATAATGCTTCCTTTTTCAAAAAATAAGTAATGCTTTAACATCTGAGAGAAATAAACTTGTTTTTTCAGTATTAGGCAGATCATTGTCCACACGGAAGGCAAAACCAGTTAGAGTATTACAGATGAGTTTACTAACTGCTTAAAACTGTATAGAATCATAATGTTCCTGGCTTTTTGTTGGCATTGTTTGCATAAGTTTAGTGAGGTTATTTTCTCAGATCAAGCCTGTGAATTTCCCTTAGTTTTCTCATATAAGATTATTTAGATAAGTGGGGCTGGAGAGGTGGCTCAGTGGTTAAGAGCACTGACTTCTCTTGCAGAAGACCCAGATTCAGTTCCCAGCACTCACATGACAGCTAATGAGTGTGACCAACTCCAGTTCCAAGGGATTCGGTGCCCTCTTTTGGCTTCCACTACATACACATGGTGCACTTACAAACATGCAGGCAAAACACCTTCCCACCCTACTCATGTATTGAAGGGCTAGTTCTCAGCTGGTGGTGCTGTTTTGGAAGGCAGAGGAAACTTTAGGAGGTGAGGCCTAGCTGGAGGAAGTAGGTCACTGGGGGTGTGTTTCTGGAAGGCCACTAGGGTTGTGTTTCTGGAAGGCAT